CTATCGGTCATTCGGTGTACTACAGGCTTCTTAGACGTTTTTGCATTTCATGTTCAAACCAATTAACCACTGCATTTTAACCTACACACTGACCCCTACCAGTCATTCAGTGTACTACAGGCTTCTCAGATATTATTGCATTTCATGTACAAACCAACAAACCACTGCATTTTCACCTAGACACTGACCCCTATCGGTCATTTGGTGTACTATAGGCTTCTTAGAAGTTTTTGCATTTCATGTACAAACCACTGCATTTTCACTGCATTTTCACCAAGACACTGACCCCTACCAGTCATTTGGTGTAACTACAGGCATCTCAGACATTATTGCATTTCATGTACAAACCAACGAACCACTGCATTTGCGCCTACACACTGACCCCTACCGGTCATTCGGTGTACTACAGGCTTCTCAGACATTATTGCATTTCATGTACAAACCAACGAACCACGGCATTTTCGCCTACATGCTGACCCTTACCGGTCATTCAGTGTACTACAGGCTTCTCAGACTTTATTTCACTTCATAAGCAAACAAACTAACTACAGCATTTTCACTTTTATACTGACTCCTATCTGTCAAACGGTATACTACAGGCTTTTCAGACATATGGTTATTCCCCTCATAACATTCCCACTATAATTATAATTACACAATAACACTTCCTTATAAATCATGCTTACTATGATATCATTCCTGCATACCTGCCTTCATAGGCATTTAGTTACATTTACTGACAATACGCATACATTTACCCAAGAATACACATACTATTTAAAGCACTATGCAGTTTTCCAGAGTCTAATATGGAATATTTGCACGCTTAAAATATAAGTCCTTCCAATTATGTATTTTCACTTATTAGGTTATTCAGCTGCCAGTCATGGTTCACTACACTCATGTTTCGGGGTACAGTTGTGTTCCATATCACACATGATATAACACTCCCGACAAGTTAATTTCCTTCAAACAGGGGCATTACAAGCATACAATAAACATTGGGACAGAGCACTTTGCTCTATTAAACTTGCATAACACACATATGGATATACGCTTTTAAATGTCTATATTCGATTTTCATACATTGTTTTACCCGTCTGGGATACAGGTATTAATAACCTTTACGACCAGTAAGGGTATCTAATCATACTACCAGGTACATACACCTGCTCATGTGGTATATACATACATTTTCTGTTTCCCCCTGGGTATATCCTTAGCGTACTGGCAATTAGGGACTATAGGTTTCCAATAGATATTTTCCTTTCTTGGCATCTACGCCTGTCGTATAGTGGTCCCGCGAGGCCAACACCCCGCCTCAACGCTCGGAGGCAAACACCCATCGGGCCACTCGTGAGCTAGCCGCCTCGCATGGTATATAGAGAGGGCCTCACCTGTCACTCCCTTCCCCTTTTTTATGGTTACAGTCACCGAGAGGCCAACATCCTGCCACTACGTTTGGTGGCCACAAAAATCCCCTCGCGCCATTGCATAGATAGAGCCTCTCAAGCCACTTGGCAACTAGCAGGGCCTCACCTGTCACCAAACAAAGGATTAATTGTTTCGCCTTGCGGCTTTAGCTAGCAAGCCAGTACTAGCACACTGTGGGTTCATATAATAATGGCTATCTTCATATTTTTTAGTATGTATCAAGCAGGTGGTAAGGATTTCTCTCTACCTAACACTCCAGCTAGAGTCAACACACTTTCACTTGGAGATGTTGCTAGTCCCACAGGACAATTTTGTCCCAACACAGCGGACGATCACGTTTCAGGCTCCAGGCTCTAGCACCTCTGGTAGGACGTAGCGAACTACCAGAGATAAATTGGGTCGTCTCATTCTCTTTGGCAAATCCCAGATTTGCAACAATTTCCATGTTGGCACATGTAGTTTCAGTGCATGCAGACTGTTGCAGATATGTTCCCAATATGTCAGGGCACATGCAAAACCATGTGTCCCAATAAATGTACCCTGAACCTTACTTCTCGTCTGTAAACATTATGCATTTCCAGTACTTTCTAACTTATCACCCTTCCAGACATTTAGTTTATTTCCTAATCTCCGATTTTAAAGGCCTTCTGTTCAGGTATTGCCATATACTTTTGGGGAAATCTAGAATGCCCTAACTTGCAGTCATCACAGCAGCATCCAACAGCTGGCATTACACTCATGGCCCAAGAAATGGCAGAAATATTTCTACCTGGGCCTCTCCGATCTACACTATTTACAGTGTGGCGCAATCCCATTGTTGTCAACTTCCCTCACACTGTAACTGATCATAGACTTATCTGCACCTCACGCCTCGGCTACCCCATAATCTCAACTCCCTCATACCCTCCGAGGAGTTTTCATTACAGTATGCCACCATTGTTCATACCATGACAACTCACTCAAGCAGGGAGGGGAAGTCTGGTTAAGTAAAACTGATATCACAAACGCATTTCAGACTGCCACCATCCACCCTGCACTGGCACTTACAGGGCATTTATGGGCAGCAGTTATATATTTCTTATCCCGCTTAACTTTCGGGTCAAGAGCAGCCCACAATCTTCAATATATTCGTTGAACTCTTTACTGGTTGTGGTTAAACATATCCAGATGCCCCACAGTCATACACTCCCGAGATGATTTCTTGTTGGTCAAAGGGAATGCCTTTCCCTCTAGAAGCTTCAAGGAAGCCATTAGTATGTCTGAACACTTGGGTGTCCCAGTATTCCCTAAGGTCACAGAAGACCCAGACACTGTCGTTACATTCCTGGGCATACAACTTGACTCGGCATCCATACCAACAAATTACCACGCGAGAAATAGGAACAGTCGCAACAACACCAATTACCACCTCCTGCTTGGTACTTGCAACCACATGGAACTACAATCCCTACCAGGTTCCTTAAATTTTGCCATGCACATCGTACCGCAGGCCACGCTTTCATCTCAGACCACTTTGCTTTTTCCTCCCTCCCGAATGATGATCAGGGGCTGTCCCTAGACAACCAAGCCATGGCAGACCTACACATATGGTGGACTTTCTTAACCACACGTAATGGTAAATTATTGTGGCAGCTGCCGTGACAGCCGCCATGGCAGGGGGTCATTTATGGTCAAGGTCATGGATTACATGAACCTCGCCAACATAGCCGGGCTCTGACTAAACTGGCCTTGTCCACCAGCACTCAACACGCTTGCTACAGGGTTTTCCACTTATACAATACGTTTCATGTCGGACCATCACTTAGATAGCTGGTTTGAGGTTTCACCACGTATGTCCTTCGCCTCTTTTTTGCCACCTTAAGTTAATAATTCTCGCACAACACGGTTAAACTTTATCTCACGGGCATTCAACCCTATACGTATTTCTCCATCCCAAACAACAAGGCTTCCTATCCTCCTACCCCATACATGCCTTACTTAGAGACATGGCCAAGCGGACGTTCCCGCTAAAACTAAATACTGGCCATAGACATACAATGTTCAAACCATGACAGAACCACTCGACCATGCACTTCCGAGCCACGCACCAATGCAATTATCAAAACTGCTACCTATCTAGCCTTTAACGGCTTTCTCAGGCCAAAACAATAACTCACTATCAGCGGCCAACATCATAAACAAGAGTGCCTGGTGACCTCTTATCCTCTAAAACACACAGACCACTATGTCCGGTCCCTTCCTAAAACTAAGATGAGTCAGAGGGGCGAGCCAGTGCATATAACCTACTACCTTACAAGCAATGCTGGGTGCCCGGTTAAGGTACTGATTACGTTCTTGGGCACGCCACCATACGCACCACTGAACCATTGCTGTCGCTGTACGATACTGTCCTTACCACAGGTAAGTTCATGCACTATGTCCACCTACTCATTCATCGTGCTCGAACTAAACCCTAGCGACTACTCAGGGCACTCCTTTTGGATAGGAGCAGCTTACACAGCCCATAGCCAAGACATCCCGCACACGTTAAGACACGGGGCCGCTGGGAATCATAGGCTTATGCGATGTACATACCACAGCCGATTCAGGAATTAGGACGCTTTCATTAAAATGTCTAACTGATGGTTAACAAATGCACTATGATCCTGTATAATGTTTTGCATTAATATTTCTCTTTTTGCCCACTTTTTACCGGCTTACAGCATAGGTCGGTTTCGGCACACCTCAACCGATTATTCCTAAAGCTACATCTCTACAACCCATCTTATTCTATATCATATGAGAATGCCCCGAACACAAATTGGAAGGCATGGCCTGAAGTTGTGGGAGGGGCTATAGACCTATAAAAGGGACTCCCTCTCCCTACTTACCTTTGTTGGTCAGACGAATAGCCCCACCCTCCACTCCCATTGTTCATATTTCCTCTATGTAAGCCCACTTTTTACCGGCTTACAGCATACGTCGGTTTCGGCACACCTCAACCGATTATTCCTAAAGCTACATCTCTACAACCCATCTTATTCTATATCATATGAGAATGCCCCGAACACAAATTCTTTTCATGAATTTTTTATTTTTTATTTTTTTCAATACAAGCATAAACAATAGAAGAAATAAACAACAACAATAATGCAATTATAACATATATCAATAAAACAATGCAATTGAATAAGTACACCAATAAATATGAACATGAAAAAAACACACAAAAAAACTAGTATAACACACATAAAGACATAATTCCGAACTGGGGTATGCTGCCAACTCCCCAGCACCTTCTTTAAAAAAAAAAAAAAACTATGCAGAACTTAAAACACTTTGCACAACTAGATATCTTTCTGTTTAATATGTTGTTGTTGTTGTTTTTTTTTTCTTATTGCTCTCTGTACATAGTGTAGGCTTACTCAAAAACAGGATGCCCCAAAACTAGTCCCTCCTCCCTCCCAGCAGTTGCAGAACTACAAATCCCGTGAGGCTCTGCCAGCCTAAAGCGCGCAAAGCATCACGGTCGTTGTAGTTTGATAGCAGGTAAATCGCATCGGCGCACGCGCGGCTCAGGAGAGGGGGTTCTGCGTCACGTGACCTGCGACACAGGAAGCGGAAGCGGCTGCTTGCAAGTAGAGCACCACGCTGCTTTTGGTAAGCGTGTGAGATATTTATGGTCGGGCTGGAAGGTCGCACTGACTGTCGCAATGGGGAAGAAATCGCAGGTGAAGTCAGGTAACAGTGGGGAGACACAGAGCAAGGATAGCAAGCCCTCTGAAAGCTATGTGGCAGGGGACATTGCAGAGAGTCTGTTTGCCAAGAAGTCATGTGAGAAAGACTCCAGCTTGCTCTCACTCTTCAATGCCAAGACCTGCACAGTCCAGGCAGCTTATGTCCCTGTGGCTGCAACCCCTGTCAAAAGAAAGCTCCCCGAAGAGGACGTGTCGAAAAAATCTACACCCAGTGTTGTAAATGTCTCCCCCGCCAAGAAATCCAGAGTGCTGTCTGAGGGCGAGCAGAAGGTAGCAGACAGAGAGAGTGCGTTGTCAAATGCGGACATAGACGAAAAGGTCCAAAAAAAGACGCTCAAGGTGGCGAAGAAGGGCGCAGATGTTGAGACCGCAGTGACACGGCGGATCAGGAAGAAAATAAACAAGCGAGAAGAGGCGGCAAAAAATAAAAGGACCGTGTTTGTTGGTAATCTGCCAGTGGACTATACTAAACCCGCTCTGATGAAATTTTTTAAAGAATTTGGACTCATTGAATCTGTGCGGTTTCGTTCGCTGACACCAGCTGAACCCAAGTTATCAAAAAAAGCAGCCACGATTCAACGTAAGTCACACCCGAAAAGGAATAATATCAACGCGTATGTCGTTTTTAAAGAAGAAAGTAGTGCTGCTAAAGCCCTTAAAAGAAATGGAGCTGAGGTAGTCAGTGGGGTGTGTATTAGAGTTGATCTGGCCTCAGCGAATAAATCTCATGATAACAAGAAATCTGCCTTTGTTGGAAACCTTCCATATGAAATCCAAGAGGATTCTGTCCGTGAGCATTTCGCAGAGTGTGGAAAAGTTGAAGCTGTTAGGCTTATTAGGGACAAAACTTCTGGTCTTGGCAAAGGTTTTGGCTATGTTTTGTTTGATTGTAAAGATGCGGTCCAACTCGCTATGAAGTTAAACAACTCCGAGCTAATGGGAAGAAAATTGCGAGTAAAACGCTGCATTACAGAGTCTTCAGGCAAAGCACCACCCAAAAAACTCAAAAGGAGCTTTGATTCTTCAAAGAAAACAAAACCACAGGATAGCAAAGCGTTTGTTGGCGAAATCGCAGATGTTAAGAAAAATATTAAGAAAAATAAAATTAAGAAAAAAACTGGACCAAAAATGCCAAAAGGCACAAAGAAACAGAAAAAGTAAAACTGCAAGTGAAATAAACGTGCCTATCATTGTGCTCTGGTTTCTCTTTTCTACTTTGTATCACCCTTTGTACAGCGCTATGGAATCTTATTGGCGCTATATAAATAATAATATAGAGTGCCAATCTAGATATATTGTATTGCAGTTTTGATGTTTCGTTTCATATGTGGGTTACTTTTACAAACAATACAATACGTTAAACTTTGAATGTTTTCAGTGGTGTTTTTTTTTTGGGGGGGGGGTGGAGGGAGGGTTTAAGGAACACTCTAGGTACCCAAACCACATCAGCTTATTGAAGTGGCCTGGGTGCAAAGTCCCTTAAGCCTGCAATAGTACAATAATTACCTGTGAGGGTTAAAGGACCACTATAGTGCCAGGAAAACATACTCGTTTTCCTGGCACTGTAGTGCCCTGAGGGTGCCCCCACCCTCAGGGACCCCCTCCCGCCCAGCTCTGGAAGGTGGAAAGGGGTAAAAACTTACCTTTTTCCAGCGCTGGGTGGGGAGCTCTCCTCCTCCGATCCTCCTTCTCTCCTCCCCGTCGGCTGAATGCGCACGCGCGACAAGAGACAGCCACTAGAGGGAATGGGGGAAGGCTTAACCCATTCATAAACATAGCAGTTTCTTTGAAACTGCTATGTTTATAAAAAAAAAAAAAAATGGGTTAACCCTAGCTGGACCTGGCACCCAGACCACTTCATTAAGCTGAAGTGGTCTGGGTGCTTAGAGTGGTCCTTTAACTCTAATTCCGGAATCGAAACTGATGTTTGGTCCGTTATCTGATGCTGGACGTCCTCATGCTCTGCATGAGGACCTCTAGTGTCAGATTTTTTTTTCCGCATAGGAAAGCCTTTGAATAATGCTTTCCTATGGGGAAATACTAATGCGAGCATGGCCATTGCCGCGCATGCTCCTTAGGTCTCGCAGGGGGAGGATCTTGGGCACAGCCTGACCCAGCACAAAGGGACTTCGGCGCTGGTTCAGGTAAGTGACTGAAAGGGTTTTTTGTTTTGTTTTTACGCCTTCAGCTGCTTGAGAGGGGGCCGCTGTAGGATTCTACAGTGCCAGGAAAACAGGTTTGTTTTCCTGGCACTATAGAATCCCTTTAAGTAATACTGTTAATTTAAAACCAAAGCTCAATTTTAAGAGGTTTTCCAGGATCCTGTCAACATGTACATCATGACGCTTCTGCTACTGTCGATATAATGTAGAAGTTTAACATTTGTATTCGCTTTATAAAACATTCCAAATTTGAATGGCAGTGATCGTAAGATCTAGTGTTTATTTGCTTAGTAATCTCAGTATGCCAAGTGAGGGGATTGGGTTTTGACAAACTGTATAAAGTGAACCACTCATGGAAATAAAAAAATAAAAAACTTACCTGAAATCGCTCCCATATACATTGAATGCACCATATATCATAAAGATACATGGTTTATTCAATGTAAAATATAAAGAATTACTCACTTTTCCTACGTTCCAGCACATTTCATGGTAGTGCTCCACCTAGGCTTTTCCTGAAGTCTTTTTTTTATATGTCCTGCTTGGGACAAATTCCAAAGCTGGGCAGATCTCGTCAGTGGCATTGCCACGCTCACTTCATTGCCAGCATCACATTGCGTTACTCCATTCCTATACTCCCTAGCCGGCGCTGTGGTTGCTAGGGAAGGAGAGCAGAGGGACCTCCTGTGGGGGCTCTTTTCTGCTCTCCCTTGTCAATGAATGCCTCTGTATGCTGTGACATTGACAGCTCGGAGAAGAAGAAAAAAACACTTTTAAGCTGGGAGAAAAAAAAAAACATTTTTACATTTCTCATAATCTATACATTTGCTAGTACGAAATATAGATAAAAGCATACGCTCAATCTATTGAGCATAAGTTGTTTGGGGTATGACAGGTGACCTTTAAATGATGAGACTGCAGCCAAAATCTCTTTGATATATAGCCACAACAGCATATTCAAGTGTTTATGGTGCTCAGTGTCCAAAATGCTGGTTGTTTTTTGTATTTTTTGCAGCCTTTTCCTGTCCATTGCTGCCTTTTTTGTTCTGTCCCTTTCTAAACTCTTATGTGCCTGGTACATAGGGAAAAACAGTATACAAAGTATAACCTGTGTCTTAGGCGCAAATCAGTAATATCACAAAGTGCAATGACGCAACACCTAATAGTGAACTGGTGTTAGTAGTAATACATCTGTTACCTGGAGTAAAAGTGTAGATGGACAGTTGCACATTTATAGATACTCTGTGGAAGGGTAATAATAAAATAGAAAGAAAAAAAAAATACTTAGTGTAGTATTTATTTTAACAATAGAAAAATACCACCAAAACTCACAATTTGGGTGGGTAACTTGGGTGTTACATTGTATGTAAAGTTTAGTATGAGTGGCAATACACCTATATTCTTGCCCAGAATGAGTACTTCTGATTTATTTTTAAGAATAAATTTATATGCACTATAAAAGCAGTGTATAAATAGATTTGATAATCCTAATACTCTTCTATTTGGGTTTTTGACATAAAAAAATTATTCTAATTTCCGTGTAATTTTTTGGTGGCTTAGCCAACAATCCCTTTTGAAAGTTTTAGAAAGTATGACATACCTGAATTGCTTAATGTGTTCTGCAAGTGCTGGAGCACTTAATTGCTTCCTGATAGCCTTCTTACATTTTTTAGCACCAGTGCCTCTATTAAATTGTTCTACCATTGCCCTTACCTTGTTTGTGTTTCAGAGGGACCATTTTTCTGTTGGACACTTCACAAACCAGACCTGGCTTGCCTGACTTTGCTATTGACGTGAACTAAGCTTGGCAATGTCTTGCCTGCTAGATAGTAGCTGCTGCTTATTCAGTGCCTGCACAAATGAAACACCAGGAACTGAAGACCCTATGAGCTTGGTGTCCATTTCTGCTTTTCCTGGTGACACCGCACAGAGATTTACTCCCTGGATTCGGTGTTTTTGTTATATGAAAACCAATTGGCAAAATTTAGTTGAAACTAGTCGATTTGGAAAAATTCTCTACCTTTGCTACTGGCACAACTTGGCAATTTGTATTTAAATTTTGCAATTCGATGGTAAAGCATTGAATTGACTGAGCTTGTCAAGTTTCATGAGCTCAGCAAAGAGTACGGAGCCTGACACTAATTTTAACATCAGTGATTAATATACTTACTGCTTAAACTTTTTCCAGAGAAGCAATTTATGCCTTTCAGTGGTCCTCTTGCAAAAGGGCACTTGTAGTTGATTGGTGCATGGCTTAGCCCAATAGGAATCTCGTCTGGATGCCAAATAGAAATAGAAAAAAAGGGGAATTGGGGGCACACCTGGAACATGCATTTCTCAGTAGTGGTGCTGCCACAAAGACCAAAATATCTACAAAATACTAGGGATATGCCTGGGCAAAAAATATGAGTCGGTTTGGCATTCGGGACTTCGGTTCGGCATTTCCAAAACTCGGGACTTAGGGTAAGTGTAGGGCTAGGAGTAGTGTTAGGGTTGGGTTACGAGTAGATTAGGGTTGAGGTTAGGAGTAGGGGTAGAGATATTCTACTCCTTACCCTACCCTAACTCTAACCCTACTCTTAGCCCTACCCATACCCAGTTTTCCACTTTTCAGAAGTCCGAAGCACTTCAGCACTGCTGAAATTCAGTTCGGAAATTCGGCACTTCAGACCGAACCGAATTGCACATGTCTACAAAATACATATTAATGAACAGTGCAGACACATACAAAAATATTGTTTTAAATGTTGCAAGGAATCTTAAAAATCACCTTTCTTAGCAAACAAATGTGAGTATTCGGTTACACCATATGTAAAGGAATCTGCATATTTGTTTGATAAAATAGGTGATATTGTGGTCTTTACTGTACTTGTTGTGCTGAGATAAATCCCACCCTAACACTTGCTGTCAACCATGACACCTGCGAATTGAATGATTTAAAGGGACACTTCAGGCACCCAGACCACTTCTGCCCATTGGATTAGGTCTTTGCGTTTGTCCAGGCAACACAGCCTTTCATCCTGTCTATCCTCAACATGTGGTTGCATATTAGACAGGCACCCAGTGCCAGGAAATTATGTTAAATCCCAGCACTGGCTTCCTGTCTTACCATTCAGCAGGTGGAGCTACTGACAGTTACCCCTGCAAAGCCATTTTGAAGTCTCTGCGTGCTGAGCATCCAATAGTAACCATGCCCGTCAGCAAGAGACATCAATGTGACATCCAGTCCATTGCAGCATTCACAGTCCTGCCCTTTTTATGCAGATTTCCTAAACCTGTGTGCTATAGCAGGAAAAAAAATATTTACCTATACCATAGGAAACAAATCTATAACAACGAATATGAAAATGAATTGGTTTCAAACTGATTCGCTGAGCCCGTATCTCATTATTCAGTGATCTTTTGCAAAATTATCTGGGGATTGTACAATATTTTCAGTCTTGCAAAACTTCGGACAAGTTTAGAAAAGAAATAGCAAGTTCAGACATTAAAGGAATACTCCAGGCACCCAGACCACTTCTCTCCATTGGAGTGGTCTGGGTGCCAACTCCCACTACTCTTAAGTACAGAAAGAAACAATGTGTGTGTACACCCACCACAGTGTAATAAGTGCTTAATTTATATCAACAGAAACTTTCCTGTATAGGATAAGATTTCCAATAGTATCCCAAAAGACTTCCTCTTGTCTTCCACACAATATAAGCAAAAAAAGGGGGATGATCTGCTGAACCAATCATAAATAAAACAACATAGCGTATAACTGTGTATAACGGCAAATTGTAAAAGTTATACTACTCTTAACCCTGCAAGTGTAATTATTGCAGTTTTCATAAACTGCAATAATTACCTTGCAGGGTTAACTCCTCCTCTAATGACTGTCTACTAGACAGCCACTAGAGGGCACTTCCTGGTCTATAGCACAGGTTTTCTGTGTTATAGCGTCGCTGGACATCCACGCTGTGTGAGGACCTCCAGCGTCACTAAAATCCCCATAGGAAAGCATTGAAAAGTATTTTCAATGCTTTTCTATGGAGAGGTCTAATGCGCGTGCGCGGCATGGCCACGCATTAAGTCTCCCCCGCGTGGTGACGGGGAGGAGCGTGGGCGGAGGAAGAAGCAGCGACGAGGGACATCGTCGCTGCCTCTGGTAAGTCACAGCAACCGGGGATGGGAGGGAGAGACGACCTGCACTGGAGCGTCCCTTTAAAAACAGATCAGCAGTACTTGTGGATAATAGTAAGTGATGGAAATAATAAGGCAAAGAAGACAGCATTTGGTGTCACATAAACAGTTTCTCACAGCTGCCATAGAGGATATGGCACTATATGTTATGCACTTTGTAACTGCCTCGCAAAGCCAGTCTCTACAGGATTGGTGAGACCGAACGATTTGTTGCCTCCATAGTAGGGATCAAACGATATTTTTCCAGAGCTGATGTCAATACCGATTATGGGTTGCCTTCTCGGCTGATTGCCGAACTGGTGCCGATATTCTGTATAAAAGGTTTGGAAAAAGTAACACAATTTCTACACAAATCGAGCATTAACTGAACATGTTTTCAACAGTCACACTCCTATTATTCTCAGCAATCAAGTACATGCTGGGATTAGTGAGATCCCAGGATGTACAGTGCTGTTACTGATAGGAGTGTGATAGTGTAATTGCTCAAATAAACAAAGAACCCTGCACACTGGTACCGTGTAAATGCTCCGTGTCAGGCGTACATTGCTGGATCCACCAGTAAAGTCTTCAGAGGGCATAAACACAGGCAACACTTCAATAGTAAGGGTGGTATATTTATTGATAGGTGAACCACCCCATAGAACAGGGATAGACAACCTGTGGCATTCCAAATGTGGACTGCATCCCCCATAATGCTCTTACACCCATAATGTCATAGAAGACGTTTCGGCTCAGCATAGCCTTAATCATGCATTGTAATTGCTGTCAGTTATCACTCTGTCAGCTAGCCCAGTACGTTATAGTAGATTATTCACTGTCTCACCTCCCTGCCTTCAGCTGAGCTCCGAATGTGGGGACTCAGAAAGGGGTGATGGGAGGTCACAAGGTGACCCCTCATTGGCTGGTGGCCAGAGTTTCCACATGCTGAAGACGGCGTGTGGTGACTGGGAGGGATGAGTACGTTATCAGTAATATCTGTAAATTACAAATGCTCTAATAATCGGCAGAACCGATAATCAGTCTATCCCTACCCTATAGCGAGGCATCACAGAGACATAGATGTCGAAGTCTTTATGGTGTTTGCCCATTACGTGCAGTGAGCTGGGGGGACCTCTGATAGTGTAACTCGCAATTGCAGTTAGTGCATGCTATCCCACATGATGCTGTCCATTAACCGTGAATGTCTGCTACATGCCATAGGACCACTGTGACAGAAAAACCGAAGGCCTATCGTGTGTTTGGTACATGCAGCAGCTCATACCGGGATCAGCTGTTAACTGGCTTTTGCTGGCTGTTTCAGCATTAACTGTGGAACACCGCAAACGTGCCAAATAAAGTCTGTCACAAACTAACAGAATTTTATAAAAGGCACAGTGGATGATAAATGCATTAGGTGTATGGTAGTCTGCTAATTTAACACTGCAGTACTCTATCATAGGCCTCAAACTGTGAAATGTTCTTTTTGCAATACAAGAAGATTTATAATATTCCCGGAAGAATGCAACCTCTTGCTAAATGGGATATTGTAGACGTTGTTTACAGTGTAAATGTAAAGCATATATGTTGCAGGAATCAGGGCCAGATTAAGAGCCCATTGGGCCTGGTGCTGACAATTATGATGGACCTAATTACAGAATCTTATCAACAGAAAACAAGCACAGTCATATCTCCCAAGCGTCATGTATCTGGGGAAGGAGGACAATTCACAAGATATAGTTGTAAGAAAACACATACCCTATTCAAATCTCTTGCTTTCATCTTTTAAGTAAATCTATACCTCCTAACAGCAATGTTCAGTGAAGCATGATGTTGGTGGTCGTGGTGGGCCACTGAAACAAATCACGTATCCAGAACAGCCTAAAGAGGGGGCATGTCTGCCCAAAGAATTAGGTCAGCCTTGCATGAATGCTTGTCAGACTGCCTACTAATCATGCAGGATGACCAACCAACGACATGCTGTGCAGAGAGCACCCTGAGCTTGGCATAAATGCATCTAATTATGCGCTCGTGCCACGCTTTCTAAGGACTGTCCCAGGCATTCTCTAGTCCATTCCTTTCCTAACCACCTTACTAGCAGGTAGAAGCTCCTGTTATTCAGTCTGGGACAGAGAAAAGGTATAACCAGTAAGTGTAGAACATGCCACAGTGTTAGAGAGACTGAAGCAGCAAGAGCATTCGCATAGTGCACAGTCAGCTTTTCCTTAACTAATTTCATTGTCAGACAGTCTACACATGTTTTGTTCCCCTAGATCCCTCTTAAGTTTAGATACTAAAGCAAAAGCATGTGCAGAGTAATAAAAAATATATAAATATTTTTTTTAATCAATGTTCCTATTACATAAGAATGGGCCTGGAGCTGCAGCTCTATCAGCCCCTATGTTAATCCAGCCTTGGCAGGAATGGCCAAAAGGCTTTGTCATTAATGGAATTATACAACCGCCATGGTGAATACTTTTTGGCCACCCAGATATTTTATGTTAGAATTTTTTTTTTAATGGGTCTATAAGGAGGGAAAGAGTCACTGTGATTGGCTCTCTAGTCATTGAGTAAAATACCATGTATTTTTTTTAATATAAATTATTTTATTACATTTTTCTAAATACGCATACATAAAACAAGACACATATATCGACAAGACACAACAGTGTGCCTCAAATAGTAAGCGTGTTATATTCTGCATGGATTATTACATCAATACATATCACACAAAAATACATTTAAAAATGGCTTAGTATTAGTAAATAATCTGCAGCAAGTAGGGGCATGTCTATTAAACAGTGAGCAGCCTATGGCTGGTGGGGGCTTGGGAGGGGGAAATTTTTTTGGGCTGCTCACTGTTTTCTAGACATGCCCCTACTTGCGGTATAGCGAGTAGGGGCATAATTTACTAATACTAAGTAATCTTTACTTAGTATTAGTAAATTTGGCTGAAAGACCAATTTAGGTCTTTCAGCCTTTTAGTAGATAACTCCCTAATACCGTGGGAATTAGGGAGTTATCTACTTATTCATTCCTGTCATTACACTGACTGGCTAAGTAACTTACATTTTATATGAATGTGGTTACTTGATTGTTGTAAGTGTTGCAAATGCTTACAGCTGAATCCTGGCTATGTCTGTATACTTTTTATTTAAACTTGTATACAGTGTAACATTCTTCATTCCTCCACTGGGTAGGTATATTAGTACTTCACCAATACTGTGCTTCAGAACTTCGACACTTCGGAAATTGGGCAATTTCGGAACTTCAGCAATTATCCGAAATTCGTCCGAATTGAAATTCGGAACGAAACGAATTGCACATGTCTAGTTTCCAATTGCGTGCAGATATGATCTTATAGGCAATAAAAAAATTTATTATAAAGCTCTTGTTCTTTTGTGAGATATTTGGCCAGTGCGTGTGCAATAATGCAACTTCAGGCTTCCTCCCTAATATTATATTAGTCTTATCAAAAATATATTTAAAGAGTAAGTCTAATGCTTTCTGGATATATGAGCAACTCCACCATATATGGAGGTAGGTACCTTCTTAGAGACCACAGCGCCAGCATCAAGGAGAAGCGTTCTGATACATCCGTGCTATATTGTTTTGCACCAGGCACCACCTGTTTATAACTTTATAGTGGGTTGCAACTAAGTTCAAGCATTGCACTTGTTTACGTGTAATATTGAGAGCTTTACACCATTCTCGATGATCTAGGACACAGTTCAATTCTTTTTCCCATTTTTTCTTCTGGGGCAGGCTTATATTTCTGGGGCAGACATTTTAATCCTCAGGGGTAACCTGAGTACAGTAATAAAAATCCTACTCTGCCAAGGGCTCAGCGCACCCTTTTTAGAGAATCCCACTCTCGTCAGCACCCTACCTATACGAGTCATATGTCTTATTAAAGACATCAAGTAGAGCTAAAGGGGTCCGAGATAGATGGAGACCAAGAGAAAAGAAGAAAAGATAACAAACAAAAAAAACAACTTAATTTTAGTCATACAAAAAGGACTAACTTAACAATAAGCCTCATTAGTTCTTCTGAAAATGAGGTTCTGGTGTCATCAAGATGCATCTGAGAATGGAAGCTCAAAAAGTTAGTTAATGTTTATAGTTTTATATCCATCATTCAAACTTAGTCAAAAAGTCCCAAACCGTAAACTTACATTATAACCAAACTCAGCAATTCTTATATCCATGTGTAGAAAACCACTCTTATCCACACACACACACACTTATATATATAATCACCCATATATACTTCAACACTACTTATCTGGTAATCCTCCTGTACCTACTATTATGTTATAAATAAAACAAATTGCAGCTATTCTTTATATCATAGATTGTGAAATGTAGTGATACCCAATCATCTCATCTCTCTATAGGCAGAATCATAGCTTCTATTATGTGTCGTAAATGCTCCATATTAATATGTGTGTCAGTGTTTAGTGACATGCCATTATAGCAGGAACCATATAGACTTATATGAAATTAAAAAAAACTTTTATGTGTGTCCACCTCCTATCTTAGAAACCGCTTCACAATTTCTATTTCATATTGTAAATACTCATTTATCCATATTAAATTGTACCTCGATTAGTGCCTTACACTTATAGCAGAGGCATTACTAGCTTATATGTGTACTTAAAAATAAAAAATAAAATTGTTTCCCTATCTTATGACCACTCCTATCTATTTTTTGTCTACCCAATACATTAAATTATACTGATATTTATATCACCATTTGTGTCCCTCAATACATCTTTTTCCCCTTCCTATATTAGCCATCATAATCAACCCATTCTGAGACCCTTAATGGAAACATGGTTGTTTTAGTCCAGGATACGAGGTTTGTAGGGGAATGAAAATTTAGCCATTTGTCTCTCCACCAAACCAATAATTTTGATAGTTAACCCCATCTATATCTGGTTCCATGTTGTTTAGGAGGTTCTAGGGATCCATAGCCTCATTTGTAGTAAAAGGTCTTGAAAAATTTAAATATCTTTATAGCGGTCAGTCATAGTTCCTTTGTAAAGATATGTATGGAATCATGCTATAACATCTCTTGGTTGTGGAGATGGGACACCCTTCGGTTTCATCAGTCGGTGTGTTCTTTCTAATATAGGATGCTGATCTTCTATAGATACGCTTAGTTCTTGAAAATAGGAAAGTAAGAAATCTTTTCGTTGATCCTGAGTGATGTCTTCTGGAACATTCCTAAACCTCAAATTGCAGCGTTTTGCATGATCTTCCAGGTCCCTAAGCTTCAGGTTTATTTGATAGACTTTGTTGTCTATGTTGTTATCTGCTCCTTGCAGTGTGGTAAGTTGTTCATCCATCTTGGTAATTTTCTCTTCAACACAGGTTACTTTCATACTTAGATCTGCCAGCTCGGTTTTGATTGCAATAAAGCTATTCGTTATCTGCTTATTAATAGAGGTCAATTGAGCATCTAGTTTAGCTACCAGAAAATATTGAGTAACATAATTGGATTGGTCTCCAGATCTCTGGAATACCAGGCCTTGGGTGTATTCATGTGCTGATACAGCTGAAGTATCCGCTATGTTATCCAATCTCATATAATATCTATCCCTCTGTGAATCAAGAGAGCATAATAATCTGCTTTCAGGCCTGCTCAGACTGCACAGGTATTCTTAATTAGTGCAAATTAATAGTTATAGGAATTTTCTCTTTTCCAGATAAGTCAGAAGTGGTAATTAGTGGGAAACCTTCCAGGTCGTTTCAAGAGAGATGGGCCAGATATTGAGCTTGATTTGATATATTAATCCAAAGCTTCTCTAAATCAAATTGCTGTTTTTTTTTTTTCATTTTCCTTTTTTCTCTCCTCTCTTTTTAAATCAGCTGTAGACAGTATTTTATTACCAATTAATTTGCTCCCAAACGTAGTCTGAGGTTAGGAGACAAGCTTAAAGCAAAGGGCTACTATAAGTAAGTCTCTAGTGCCAATGCAGCTGGATATATTTAATAATGGGTGATAGCTGTGATCCGCTCGTGCCTCTCTGGCATCATCCAACAATTTTGCCATATTTCTTTTAGGCACATGCTACCTTAAAGGACCACTATAGTGCCAGGAAAACATACTCGTTTTCCTGGCACTATAGGGTCTCTAGGTCCCCCCACCCTTAGGGTCCCCCCAAGGACGGATTAATGTAGGCTGATGGAGCTGCAGCTCCAGGCCCAGGCCCAGGCCCAAGCCAAAACCCCAGGCCCAAGCCCATGGAAGAGGCCCATTGATAAAAACACTTCTCTTAGGGTTGCCAGGTATTTCTCATGTATTTCTTATGGTTGCCAGGTTTTTCTCAGAAGTATTTCTCAGGTATTTGAAGTTGCCTAGCCGGTGCCAGTATTGCAGTAATACCGGCAATACAATTGTCTGTCTCAGTATAAACAGATATTATTCTGCAATACCAGAGCCGGCCAGTAGGGGTCGCTATTTGTGTGGAGAGAGGCAGGGATAAGAAGTTACAGCATCTCCCTCCCTGCCTCTCTCTACTCACTGATCCGCGGGGGAGCAGCTCTGCACAGAGAGTCCAGACAGCAGTTTCGAACCTGCGAGACATGGAGACGGTGAGAGACTTGGGGATGCTGAGACATTGGGACACAGGGAGACATAGGGACACTGGGGAACACGGGGACCCTGAGACACTAGGGACACAGTGGCACCATGTCTCCCAGTGGCCCCTAGTCTCTGTGTCCCCATGTCTCCTAGCCAAGTGCCCCTGGTGTGTCAGTGTCCCCATGTCTCCCAGTGTTCCTCAGTATCCCTAGTGTCTGTGTCCCTAGTCTCCCAGAGTGCCCTAGTTTCTCAGTGTCCCCATGTCTCTCCCACTGTCTCAGTGTCCCCAAGTCTTACAGTGTCATGGGGACACAGACTCTAATAGACACTGGGAGACATGGGGATACAAACACTAGGGGATACTGGGCGACATGGGGACACTGAGACACTAGGGGACACTGAGAGACATGGAGACACTGAGAGACATGGGGACACTGGGCGACTTTGAGACTTGGGAGATATGGGGCACTCCCGGTGTCCCCATGTCTCCCAGCCAGTGTCCCTAGTATCTCAGGGTCCATGGTGTCTCTCAGGGTCCATAGTGTGCCACTGTCCCTAGTGTCTCTGTGTTTCCTAGTCTCCCAGTGTCCCAATGTCTCCCAGTGTCCCCATGTCTCCTAGTGTCTCAGTGTCCCCTAGTATAAAAGAAAAATTCTCAGGCACGCACTGTGATAGATACCCAGGTCTTACTCAAGTCTCCAGTGTCCCCTATGTATCACAGTGTCTCTGTGCCCCATGTCTTCCAGTGTTCCCTCATGTTCCCATGTCTCCCAGTGTCCCCAAGAGTCTGTGTCCCCAGGTCTCCCAGCGTTCCATAGTATCTCAGTGTCCCAATGTCTCTCAATGTCGCCTAGTGACATGGGGACACTGGGAGATATGGGGACCAGTGGTGTGTCCTGGGTTTGTGCTGCCCTAGGCATGACAAAACTCAGGCCCCCCCCCCGCGCCACCCCACTCTGCCCCATCTTCTAAATACACACACACACATTCACTGACAGACACGCATACACTAGCTAACAGACATACACACTCACTAACAGACACACACAGTCACTAGCAGACACACACATTCACTAACAGACACGCATACACTCTCACTAACAGACACACACATAGTAACACACTCCCTAATAGACACACTCCCTGACATACACACACTCACTAACAGACACATACTCTCACACTAACAGACACACACTCTCGCACACACACACTCACTAACAGACACACACACTCACATTAACACACTCACTTTTTTTTTTAATTCAACCCCCAGCCTCCTTACCTTTGGGAATGCTGGGGGGGTTCCCTGGGGTCCAGTGGCTGCTGGGCTGCTGGGCTGGCAGTCGGCGCTGGCGAGGGAGCACTGATTAGTGAGCTCTCTGCTCAGCTCCCTCGTGCACCGCAGAGTGATGCCGGGAGCCAGAATATGACATCATATTCCAGCTCCCGGCATCACTCTGCGGCGCACGATGGAGCTGAGCAGAGAGCTCAGGGGAAAGTGCGCCCAGCAGCCCGCCTGGATTTTTAGTTAGCCGCAAGGCTAACAAGACATTTGCCCTGGACATTTGGGGGCGGCTTTTTTTGCTGCCCCCTGGAAAATGCCACCCAAGGCAAATGCCTTGTATTCCTCGTGGCTAATATGTCACTGATGGGGACACAGACACTAAGTTGACTGGGAGACATGGGGACACAGATATGCCCCCTTTTTGTGTATGTTCGTCCCTTTCGGCAGTTCTGGTTATTGATTTGTGTCAGTGGCCCACCCTTTTACCCCATCCATAGACTTCCTGCTTTACTGGACACTGCTGTTAGGGGTATGGGTTTACTTGAAAGATGAAAGCGTGAGATTAGCATAAGGTATTTGTTTTCTCATAGCTGCATCCTATGAGATTCCCTCCAGCACCATCTCCATCAGATACATGAGGTAGGACTGTTTTAGTGTTTTTGGTCAATAAAATTTTATAATTAGGCCCACTGGGCTATTAATCTGGCCCTGGGTCCCCCTCCCTCCAGGCTCTAGGGGGTGGAAGAGGTTAAATCCCTCGGCGTGGGGAACTCTCCTCCTTTTCGCCGTCATCGGATGAATGCGCATGCGCGGCACGCATTCAGCCAGTCCATAGGAAAACATTCACAATGACGCTGGCGTCTTCTCACTGTCTTCTCACAATGATGCCTATGACGCTGGCGTCTTCTCACTGTGAAAATCTCTGAAACTGCTATGTTTATAGCAGGTAAGGTTAATCCTAGATGGACCTGGCACCCAGACCACTTCATTAAGCTGAAGTGGTCTGGGTGCCTATAGTGGTCCTTTAAGCCAGCCAGCTCGCTTGTCTGTAGTTTTCTGTGGCTTGTCGTTGCTTGTCTCAACGACAAGCCACAGCTTCTATTGTCTCTCGGCTTGGCGCATCTCGGACCCCGAAGCTCCACCTCCTCTGGCATGATTACATCATCACACCCCCGAAATACCATGTATTTTAAATCCACACCTTGTTTTATTCAAATAGGTCAGTACAGAATAACATATGCAAAGGGGCACATTTTAGCTTCTATCACCATTTATTGTATACCAACATATTCCGAAGTATTTTACAGTGGAAATATATATTAACCTGGAAGCTTACAACGGCTTTTAAGATTTAGGCGAAATAGCCAAGTAAGGAAATGTGTCCAGTCGTATAAAAAAATATATCATACATCAAATTATTACATCGTTCGAAAAGTTTATCTACAAATTTTAACTTATTTGAAAAGCTTGTACAAAAATATTAAATAGAGGCCGTAGTTTTACGAAAGGAATCAACGCTCAGTGGACATGACACCATAGCATAAGTAGCAGATTATGCACATATAACATTCTGCTGTGTGTGATAACATAAGAATCCATAAGTCTTTCTGGGGCACTCCTATAAACAGTGAGACAAAAGAATGAATACAGCAAGTTGCCAAATGTAAAAGGAAACACTGGGCCAATACAAAAAAAGAGACATTTTCAGGTAGTAAAGAAGGAAATATAGAGTAGCAGGAGACAAACATTTCCACATTCATGGGACAATTCACTATGGACCAGTCCAAAACTGATTTGCTAAATTAACCACATGGCCAGCATGTGCCTGCATGCCCCAGGAAAGGCCGTGAGAGTCCAAATCCCAGGTTTTACCACTAACCAGCCACCAGGTAAGTGAATTACCATTTACACATTAGCTTCCAGTCCAAACCAGACACTCCAAGTATATGGAATCTGTTAGTTGAAGGTGGTGCGATTGGGTGAATCTCCCAGATGCGCTCCCAGAGAGGGGTCAGTGGCTTGGACCCAGAAAGCTACAGCAGGTTGCACAGTTCTTGTGCAGATTGAGGTGCTGTTTCCATTTCTTGTGCTTGAAATTACTGGACAAGGAGTTGCAAGGAGAGCACTTAACCCCAGAGGTTTTTGCAAGATGACATCTTTGTCCAAAAATTGGTGCAGAAGACACTGAAGGCTTCCAGAGGCCCAACTGGGCTCCATATCATTCTCTGCTTTGTGGCTGATGCCATGTTGCGTGCAGCTGCAATTTTGCAAAAGCTGGTACAAGCAGATCGTCTCTTCTAACCACATGGCACCCACTAGCTTCAGAACCGTGGAAGTAACATGGCGAGAGGTGATGAGAGGAGAATAGGTTTCCTTTGCAGAGCCTAGTGGGTCCAGAGAGATTGTGGGTGGAGAGATCAGCTGCCTGTCTCACACCCTTGCCAGTAGGTTGCAAGTAGACTGCAGGGTTACCATAGAAGAAAGAAAACGCGATCAGGAAAGCCTCCAAAACGCTTGCTCGCTTCGCTTGCACGGTTGCAGGGTAACACCAATAGTTGCAGTGCCAGGAAATATAATCATATAGTACAAAGTAAAAAATAGGAAAACTCAGCATGGCAGTCAGGCTCAACTCCTAGAAAATTTTATTCAACTCATCTCATCCCTAAAGTCCATTTTAGCCTCACTACAAGTTACTGTTTAGTGAATAAACCACA